TATGAGCGTCTGAATAAGGCCCTGCTTGGCACACAAGGGCATATGAGCATCTGAATAAGGCCCTGCTTGGCACACAAGGGCATATGAGCGTCTGAGTAAGGCCCTGCTTGGCCCACAAAGGTACAGGAGCATCTGAGTAAGGCCCTGCCTGGCCCTCAAGGGCATATGAGCGTCTGAGTAAGGCCCTCCTTGGCCCACAAGGGCATATAAGCTCTCACCCTTGCCATTGCCCGAGGGGTCTCCCATGCAGCTGATCATGACCTGGCCGCTGCCCAGGCAGTGCGAGGTGTGGGGGTTCGCCAGGCCGCACCTCCAGTACAGGTCAGTGGGCTCCACTATCTGCGAGGGAGAGAACAGGGGGAGGTCTGAGCCCGGCCTGGCCCAGAGCGACGTCCTTTAAGAAGATCCAGGAACACAGGTACCTTGTGCAGCCGGGGAGCGCGGGCGTCGGTGCCCACGTCCACGACGTAGACGCGGGAGGAGATGAGCGCGGGCAGGATGAGCCGGTCGCGCCGCTTGGTGGCGTCGCCGTGGCAACTGCTGCAGGCGTTCCAGCCCGAGTGGTGGAGCTCGTCCCGCAGGTTGGGCATGGGCAGGCGGTGGATCACCTGGGCCGGCAGGGGAGAGAGGGGGGGGCGTGGTCAGGGGTGTGGTCATGGAGCATAATCAGGGGGCGTGGTCAGTGGCTTGGTGAGGGGTGTGGCCAGGGGCACAGTCCAGGGTGCGGTCAGGGTCACGGCCAGGGGGCGTAATCAAGTCAAGAGTGCGGTCAGGGTCACAGCCAGAGGGCATGGCCATGAGCCACAGTCAGAGGCGAAGGCGAGCGGTGGTCCAGGGGCGCTCTCAGACGTGGTGGGTGCTACCTGACAGTAGGTGGCAGAAGAGGGGTCCACGTCCACAGTGGCCAGGTAATCCGGTTTCTGGATGTCAGTGTTGCGGTAGATGCAGGGCACATAGACAATCTCCTCTCTGGGGCCTGAGACAGAGAGACACGCAGGTCAGGGCTACTGCCCCCTTGTGGTCGGGATCAGCAATGCAACTGAATATGCTGAAGAGCTCTGCCAACACAAGGCTTCACTTCTGCCATATTTCACAAGCCTTTGCTTTGACTTTCAAGAGCTGCTATTGGCCAACAGTGGTGCCGCACCAGTAAGGCTGTCCCATCAGAGAATGGAGCCTCAGAGAAAGGAAAATATGGTATACAGGTGTTGGATCTGCCTCACGGCACAACACTGACCCCTAAAGGGAAACATTCAGAACTGCTGAAGTGGAACTTGAGTCTTTCAAGAGGCCACAGGCAAACCAGATCCCCTGTTTCTGTTTATAATGGCCAGAAAATAGGAGAGTTGATGACTCTAAGAAAACATTTTTGGGAAGACATCCTGCAAAAACAGGGACCCAGAATTCCCTGCTTGTTTTGCACTCGAGCGCTTGCCCCGATGCCCTGAGATAAGCTGCCTTCTTTTCAACGTCATCTGCTGGACACACAGAAACTCCCGCACCCGACCCCAGGGGCTTAAAGCGCGGGTCTGTGCTCGAGCCAGCGTAGACTGACCCGACTCCTAACTGGCCATTCCTGATGAGAGTCCGCTGCGTGATGAGAATTTTACATGGTCTTCGACACCGAGGGAGTCGGGCTGCCCTGAAGCCCCTAGGAAAAGGAAAGACAATCCCAGACGCCAGCTGGTGTGCTGCGCAAATGTTATTTGAGTTGGGTCCATTCCTCTTCAAAGTAATATAACACCCATGAAACAGCACTGCTGTGCTGAGACCACATCAACCAGAGCACACCACGCCTATATTTTATATAGGAAAACCTTTAGCATAGGTCTGCTGCATGGCTATGAATTCACTTAATTACTAAATATCACACTCACAATACACCACTGGCACTCTGGACTATGAGCTGAAATCTCTACCTGCCACGACCTCTAGTGGCCACCCATG